GGCCACAAGTCGTACAAGCACAGGACACGGACAAGTCGGGACCAGAGGATCCCGAAAAGAGTGACAGACAAATTTGCATTGCCGTCTTGTGGAGCGCCGCGGGCGCATTCTCACGAGTCGCCGAGAGGAAAGACGGAGTTGTGAGAAGTTCAAGGGGAGCGGTGGCGCCCAATCAGACCGTTGAGGGCGGACTCTGGTTCCGCCTCTGGTCGCTCTGGACATCGGTTTTGTGTGGCCCCAGATGCTCATGTCTCATACTGTTAGCCTCAAGTCGGGCATGTCCCTCTACAGGAGGAGTATTCGAAATCAGTCCACAAATAGTCAGGGAACGATTTTTCGATTATTGCTTTGCTATCTTTAGTTCTGGTTCGAATGTGCTATTTTTCTGCCCTCGTCCGCCTGTGGGAGGACATGCCCGACCTAACCGTCAGGCCCGCGAGGCCCGCGAGGCCCGCAGACACTCCCGCGCGGGCCCTTCGTGGCGCGCCCTCTGTCGCCCACGTGGTCAAAGATGGTAACATCTACGTGGCGGGGCTTCGTCTCTGCCGTGGCGCATCTCTTGTTTTGTTGGGGAGCCGACTGCGCCCAAGGCGTGGCACGCTTCTCGGCCACGCGCAGAGGGGGGAAGGGGGGGGGGGAAGGCTTCTTAAAAGCACCCCTGCGTCTTAGAAGGCGCGGGCCTTGTCTATAGATGCAGGGCCGGTGCCTTTTAAGAAGCAGCCTCCTTCTAAGAGGCCTTCCCTCCCCCTCCCCCTGCCCTCCTTTGCACGCCACCAGAATTCTGTACCTGGTCCAGTCTCGTCACGTGGCAACGGTGGAAGCTCGCGCCCGGCGCTGACAACGTCCGGGCGAACAGCGACAAGGCTGCTTCCGCACGTTCCTAGCCTGCCTCCCCTCACACGCCCACCACGCGGGGCCAAGTGCACGCTGCTGCTGCTTTCGCCTCACACGCAGCACTGCTGACTCTTGGTTTGCCCCTCTGGATTCTCGGCGCGACCACCTGGCTCGCGCGAACCATCTTCGTGAGGTTCCCCCAAAGCGCCGCCCACCCCGTGCCCTCGCCCCCTGCTGCTGGTCGTGACGCACGCGCTGTGCTGGCGCTCCTTGCTGCGATTACGTGGCTCTTTCGAGCCCCGTCCGTGAGTCTCCGCCAGGCTGCCAGCCACAGGCCGAGCGGAAGCCGAGGAGCTGCTGACGAGGTGGACGGCGGTGACGATGGCATCCGCCCGTCTACGCTGCCAGATTCACATTCGCCCTGGACCCAGGCCGCAGCCCTTGGCGCCGGTCTAAATGATCCGCCAGCCCCACTACGCAGCAGCCCTGCAGCACCACCAACGCATTTCCACGGCCGTCACACGGCCAACCACTAGCCGCTCCGATCCTGCATCAGTGCTGGAATTATCGTCGCGGTCACCAAGCCAAGTTCCAACCCTATGAACAGCCTCTGTGGAGCGGTCATGGATCGAGCAGGTGCTGCTGCCGACTGCAGCCAAGACGCCGAAATAAGGAGCAGTTTGAATTCGGAAGGGGCTCGATATTCCTTACGTCCTTCCGTGGCTGTTCCTCTAGCCCTTCTCGTGCACCCAGGCTTTTTGGAAGCCACAGAGGGGCTTCGGTCCTTACTTAGCGTTCCTTATTCCAGCAGCCCGACTGCATTGGGGCGTCATGTTGCCTGCTCGTCGACCGCGGCGTTGGCGACCTCCCGTCAGAGGCGGGGGACGAGGGCAGCCCTTCGCGCGGCCGGGACGATCGTCCCAGGCCGCGGGCGGGGCGCCCCCCGTGCACACACGTCCACGACGTCGACGCTCTCACGAACCAGGCCTGAGTCGGGCCTGCCCCTCTACAGGAGGGATATGCCAAAATATTCAAAAAATAGTCATGGTACCATTTTTTAAAAGTATGTTTCAACATTTTGGAATGTTTTTTTGCGTATGTGCTTTATTTGTCGTCGAAAATCCCCCTGTACGGGGGACACGCCCGACTGAAAGCCAGGCCGAGGTGGTGGCCATGTCTCGCCGGCGCCCTGCGGCCACAGTTCCAGGCCGTGGGCCGCGAGTGGGGCCCTCCATCGTGCCCTTCGGGTGCCTTGCCCCGCTGTTGCACCCATCACCGCCTTGCAGGTCCGCCTCCGCTCTCTCTCTGCACTTCTCCGCTCACGCACTTCTTCGGCGTCGCCGCCGCCGCTCGCGGGAGGGACGCCTCAATCCCTGCCCTTGGCCCGCCTCTGGCCGCCCAAGTACTTCCTCGGTTTCCTGCACGAGCCAGTCTAGCCGTGAGCAGGCCACCCGTCGCGGAGAAAAACCTGTCCAACGGCGTTTGTTCACGAGAGGAAGACCACCCCGACCCGACAATTGGCGTTTACTAAACGGCCCTGGGCGTTTACCAAACAGCCCTGCCTTGTTCGATTACTGCCTTCGGTGGGTTTACTGAACGGCTTCGCTTGTCGGGGGGCTTATTATGGGGGTGGATTTTCTGCCTTCTGTCTGTTCCCTTTGCGCAAAAAAAACGCGGGGCAGTTTCACTCCCCCCACGGCCCCGCGTCTTGCCTCGTACGGTCGTGACGGGAGAGCCGCCTCGCTCTCGGCGGGGCTGGCCGGCCCAGAAAGGGCTCCCCTGCCGCCCACCCCCGTGCTTCCGCCACTGCTGGCGCCACCCCCGTGCCACGGACACAACAGGCGAAGGTGCCCGACTAGGTCGGCACCGTGCCTGGGCGCCGGCGGCCGCGCCGTTTCACCCTGCGTCCGCGAGTCAAGATTGGGCATAGCCAGGACCCCCGTTGAGGGGAGCCGGTTGGTGATTGGGCCCCAAAGCCCAACACATGGATTGGAATCATTAAACCAGGTTTGCCGCAGCTGGTGCTTTTCGGGCGACGGCACTTCCGGTTAGTGGAATGGGACGGGGGGCGTCCCCGGTACAGATCGCTAAACCAGGTGTCTCTAAACCCAGTCTTGCCATCGCCCGACAAACACAGCAGGTAATGACCATTTCTTGCCACCCGTGGCTCGCCGCACGGAGGCCGTGCTCCAGGCAATCTGTCGCGTGCCGCGCAGGAGCCGAGGGCGTGTCGGGCTTTTGGCAAGCGCGTCTTTGCCTGGGCATGAGAGGAGCAGGGCGCGCACACCGCCAGTAGACCAGCGCCCAGGCAGACGCTGTCCGAATTCGGCGTGGGCGCGCGTGTGCGCGCGTGTGTGCGACCCCGTCGTTGGTACTTTTTACCGGCTCGCCTCGTCGCCACGCGCGAGGCCGTTTCCGCCAAACAGTGTGTGTGTGTGTCTCTCTTCTGTTGTTAGATCAGATGTGTACTTCTCTCTCTCTCTCTCTTTCTTTCTGCAGTCCTTACCGTTATGATGTCCTTGCTTGGACCCCTGTGAGGAGCCCGGGCTCATCCCCCTCATCCTCGTTTCAGGAGGAGTTGTGGGGTGCGGGGGGGGTGGGAGGAGCTTCTTGGGCGTTTGTTGAACCATGGCACTAGGTGCCACGTCTCTCTGGGCGGCTATGGGGAGACACCGTGGCAACCCCGAGGCAGCCCCAAGAACCTCAAACACGGCCTCCCGCGATTGCTCCCGAGACCTGCACCCCCACAAAACATGTGCAGGTCGATACGTGGTTGTTGTAGCCACCCGTTGTTGGCAGCAAGGCGGCCCCACGAAGTCGCAATATGCCTCCATGAGGCTTCCAGATGCCCCCAGAAACCCCTCACGAGATGTTCGAGATTCCGTCCAAGAGACCCTCAAAGAGACCACCGCTTGGCTTGCATCAGCATTCCGTTCGACAGCACCAGGGCGTCCCCTCCCTCTGGCGGATAGGCTGCGGGGGGGGTGCTCCAGCCTGGGGCGGAGAGGGGGACGGAGGAGGAGGAGGAGGAGGAGGAAGGAGGAGCAGAAGAAGGATGGGAACACAAGGATGGTACAAAGTAAAAGGATGAGAAGGAGGAGGAGGAGGAGGAGCAGGTGAAGGAGAAACGAGGAGGATGAGGAGGACGAGGAGGAGGCAGGGGAGGGGTAGACTCATCCCCGAACATCGGGCCAAGCGTCTTGGATAAGCCCATCCTCAGAGTCACGTGCGCCAAAGGGGTAGGTGGAACTGAAACAGAGCCGCTCGTGCCCATGGCGCTCAAGAGTCCGGATGGGTAGGGACATGATTTCTATTCCCAGGCCTGTTTGTGCCGACGAATAATCAGGACGGGAGGTTGTGCTATTTTCGGGCTCCAGGGCCCTCACCCGGAAACGGGACTGTGAACAAGAACGAGTTTGAATGAAAAGCCTGTCCCGTGCGAAGCCTCTTGGCGGCTCCGTGCGCTGCTTCGGTCTAGGAAGTTCTAAAGCACAGCTGAGCTCTTCAGGCTGTTCGAATGCCATGTTGTCTCATTCGTGGACGGCGCAGTCCCAGCAATCTTTCATGCAACTGATATTGTCTTAGCTCCGTTAGACGGCTTGCAGTGTGAGTTTTTGCAGGCGCTCGGGGTGTTCGAAGAAATAGCCCTTTGTGATTACAGCCTCGCCCCGGCATGTATGAGACGGGACTTGTCTATCGAAGGTTTCTTGCACAAAATTGTTCACGGCATCGATCCCCTTGTACTCTGTGCTCTTTTCCCTCCCATGACGGGCAACCTCGAAAGCCACGGCTTTGGTGGAGGAAGGCGCATGCACAACAGGGCGTTGCGTGATACAGTTGAACCCGGCATGCATCCAATGATGTGCAGGTCCATTTTAGGTATGTTGTGTATGTTCAACCATTTTTCGCGACATTTCGTCGATTCCCCCTCTGCGAAACAGTTCCAGAGAAAGCTCCGATCCGCGGCAGTCGAAGCTGTCAGATCTGGCCACAGCGCGTGGCACTGCAGTTTCAGCGTGCCGTGCCGCGCTCCGCAGTTACCAATCGTGCGCGTCCCTATCTGAGGGTTTGCCGTAGACAAGAAAGCGTCGGGAATTCTTGGGAACCCGTATTTACTGTAAGACTCAGGATGGGCGGTTTACAGTGTTTGGACGCCCAGTCTGCAGGTGTTTGATATTCTCCCACAGCGTTCGCATGCTCGACCTGATCCAGTCTTGCGTGCTGCGAGTGCTTGGGTTGAAGTTCCTGCGCATCGACGGCACGGTGGATGCCAAGGAGTCGGTCTGTCTTTTGCGACGCCCTCTTGTTGGAATTTACGCATCGGGGCAAGCCCACACACAGAGTCTATGGTCTGAGTGTGTTCTTGGGCCTTGGCGCAAATCAGAAGTGCGGAGCACATCCGTACCCCGTGCGTGCGAAAGCAGGGTTTGTCTACTCTGTCTGGCCCACTTGCGTGTGAATTGCATCAGGAGGGGAAAAAACACACAGTTCATCGTCGATTCCCGGGAAAATATGGGAAGTGGGGGAAAGACGATAATTCAGAAACATATCGGAAAATACATGGAATCTTGGGGTTTGTGTGTAGTCATGTGTGTGTCCTTGGGCCCCTTGATGTCTCGCCCAACTGCGTGTCAATTTTGGAGTTCCGCGTGCGCAACGGGACGTGCGGTGTATTCGAGCTGGGGCACGCAGGCTTACCGCGCATGCCAGGTTTACAGCAAGGGCAGCGGCTCACGCCTGATCTTCAGTCGGGCCTGTCCCTCTCTAGGAGGAATACTCAAAGATAATGAAAAAATAATATGGGGATAATTGTTGAATCATTGTTTGATTATTGTTGCATATTTGTTGGGTATTTCCTATTTTCGTCCAAAATCCGCCTGTAGGGGGACACGCCCGACCTAAGCCTTCTCTTTCGCGTGCCTCTCATGACCAAGTAAGGCTTTGGAACGCGGAGTCGTTGGACATCGGGGATTGGGCATGGGTAATCAGATTCTGAGGTGTGGGACCTGCGGATAAAGAGCTCCCTGGGAGCAGCCGCAGCAAATCGGCAGAGTATCCCTGGGTTGTGCACCCTGTCGTCATGTTTGATCGCCTTCATAATGGTCCCTCCTCTCCGTCCTCTTCCGTGCCCTCATGATGTCGTCAGTGGTGCCCTATCTATGGTATTCAATTCCGTGCGTTGTATCCTCTCACACTTGCCGCCAGCCTCCGATTGCCGCGTTGAGCCCATCGTTGAACGATCCGGCGTTTCTGAAACTTCCGATCGTTCAAGGTTGAACGATACCCGCGGTGTCAGGAAACTAACGCCGGGGTCGACACAGCGCGAACTTGCCGTATCGGGCGGATGGTCACGGGGGGTGAATTACGTTGGTGGTGAAGACAAGGGCTCTAAAGCTCTAAAGGGGCCCTCAAGCGCCCATTTGGAGCCAGCTGGGGCCGAAAAGGGGCCCTGAAGGGTCCTTGCCTACACCCCCCATTTGTGGTCATCCCCCAGTTACCACACTCTCGACCAGTTCCAGGGCTTTCCAAAAGGACTCCTCGGCTTCGACGAATCGAAGGGTCGAGCCGCGCCTTCTTCGGCGGCGGCCGCCGGCGGCCGGCGGAATGCGCGGGCAGCTCCTCCAGCGGGGGTAGGCGGAGGCCCTGCGGAAGTAGAGCCAGACCCCGCCGTCCCCCCCCTGGATCGAGGGACAAGAAAACTGCATCCATTTTTCGCGTCGGCGGCGAGGCAGAGTTGGCTGCACCAGCAGGGGAGCTAGTCGGCGCACCGAACATCGAAGTGGCCAGCGTGCAAGAGGGGGGAAAGGGGGGAGGCGGCCGCAGGGGGGGGGGGCGGGGGGAAAGCAGAGGTCATGCTGGCGGCCAGCCCCGCCGGCGGGATCCGTGGCAACTGCCGGGCGGCGGCGCAAGGAAAATTGCATAAACATACGTTTTGGTAGCTCCGTTGGATTGGCGCTGGAGCCGCCCCTTGCGCGTTCCGTGCGCCAGGGGGGGGGGGGGGGGTCAGCAAAAATCAGGAAATCCGCGCGGACCTCCAGCAGTTTATCTTTTGGCCGTTGTTTCTTCTTCTACGGCGCACCTCGGGTGTCTCAAGTTGGGCGCATTCTCCAGGCGCTGCGTCAGAGAGGTTCCGGGGACGAAGTGGTCCCGATGCCGCTGCCCTTGCCTCGTTTTCGCCTGTGTGGGCCTTGGTGAGGACGCACCTGGGGAGAGGTCCAGGGAGCAGCGGTATGGGCACCTGTTGGTCTCACCAGGAGTATATCCTTTCTGCCCCCTCTCTTTTCCATGACCGCCCTCTGAGAGGATCGCGACCTCAAGCTCGCAAAGTTCCAGCAGCCCGACTCGCGGTACTTCTGCATGTGCCTCAGCGTGCAGACGGGCGGCACAGGCCAGTCGTACCCCCTGGCAGCGTGGAAGTAACGAGCAGCATTTCTGTCGTCGTCGCCGCCCCCTTTCGCAATGTTTGCTCACGTTGACTTGTGTTCAAGGTCGCTTGGGATGTTTGCCAACCTGGACCCCGAAGAGTGAGCATGTGTGCGCTCTGGATGTGCAAGCAATGTGGTGAAATCTGTCATTTTATTTGGCGGAGGCTATGTGGCGGAATATGTGCAGTGCCAGGTATGTGGTGCGAGCTATGCGGTGCAATCGGTGCGGTGCTAACTATGCGGCGCAGTT